CGTCCAAGCGCCACATATAATTTTCTTCCTTAATTACATGGGAAATAGCATTCTGCCAATCTTCAGGTTTTACACGTACTATACCGGTTTTTAATAAACTTTGAACGTCGGCTATTTTAAAAGTTTTATTTTTTCGAGCTACAAGCCCTTTCACTTGCGCCCAAATTAGTTCAATAGGATTGAATTCGCAGTGATAAGGGGGAAGTCTTAATACCGTAATACCACGATCACGAACCATTGTGTCGACAAAATATTGAATATATTTATGGCGGTGTTCCTTTATTAGGTCCATTAATTCCGCTTTAAGCATCTCCTCAGTAAATGTTATTGCTTTATTCCGCAGCGAGGTCTGCATATCCGCTTTCCTACTGGACATTATCGGAATGCGTTCAACTCGTCGACTGTGATGAGAAGCGTTATCTAGTACAATAACTGAATTTCATTCTTCATGCTGTAATACTTCAGTAAAACATTTTTCAAAGCATTTCGCATTCATGTCCTCGTGGTAGTCTTCTGTTTTTTTCGATATAAATACAAGAGCGCTATTTTCCAAAAATCCACTGTCACTTCCGATATGGGTAACAATTAGGCGCTGTCCTTTACCTAATAGTGCTTTCAAACCTGTAGATAATCCCTTTATAAAAGCTTGGCGATGACTAGTTACAGAAGTATCTTGCCATATCTTAGATACCGTATGTCCAGCATTCACCCACGTTTCATCGAGATAGTATCTTTTTTTAGCGGCTCTAAACTCTTTAATATTTCGTAAATAACGCCGTCGCCAGGACACTATATCTGACCTCTCAATTAAAATTGATTTCCTACACCGTTCGACAAAACGAAATTTTAGGCCCCATAAAATTTTTCGTAAAGTTTCACGGCTCATTAATGGAATTTCTTCGTTTTCTCTTAATTTCGTAAGAACAACTTTAAGTGTTGGGGCTTTGTTTTCGAAAAAAAAAAAAAAACAATGAATGTACAGTTCTTCGAATGATTTGTTTTTGGTTATCGTCCAATTTCAACAATTTTCGACCACGGGTATGCGTTTTAGGGGCTTCTAAGGAGACTTTTTGTCTTTTCGCGTACAATATGTTTAATTGTTGAAACAGATACTCCAGTTAAAAAAGAACTGCGGTTTACAGCTTCATTTGTAGGAAGTGTCTGTTTCAACCCATCATACACTTTCCATATAATGTTCTTTTCATCCTTTGATAAGGGCTTTCATCGACGTAATTGGGTTTCACTTGGACCCGCCTCTGAATCCATTACTATTGTAGCAATATAATTCTACTATTAAATTGTTTTTATTAAATTTATAAAGACACCAATATTTTACTATTTAATAAACTTTTAAAGTACCTACCTAATATACTACACAATAAATATAACTCCTCGAATATGCACTACCACTACCAAATTGTAAGGCACAAACATGAACACCTACTCGTATATCAGAAAAGAGCACTTATACGAAAAATGTTTATAAAATATAAAATACTTATCGTAAATAGTTAAAGCGATACAAATCTAACTTCGTCGAAAGTTAATTTTAAACTGTCTTTGTGCCTGTGCTGACAATATTCAATCTGCAACCCGTCTGTCGTTTATTTACTTGAAACACTGTTTAAAACCATTAAACACAGATAACGAAGTCATTAGGGAATAAATATATTCATTTCTTGAAAACTATCAAAAACGTATATTTAACGTATATTTGTTTAAATAAAGATGTTGACAAACAAATTTAATAAAGTTTACTAACAAATACCTAATAAATAATAAATAATTATTTGGTATTTGATACGCCGCCTATGCTGACTCTGTCGGAATTTTCATTCATAAACAACAGTGTTGATCATGCATATGACGTACCTTCTCCAATATTTTGTCCGAGTATAGAAAATATTGCAAGCACAAGACGCTTAAACCCCCTAATGGACATAACGCGTTATCTTTAGAAGAAACAAATATTGTACTGTACTCTAATGTACTTAATAATCTTCTAAAAGCCTTTGTATTACTTTCTGATTATGAAATAGCCACCACTAAATGTAAGACCTATACAAGAGTATCTAAGCGGACAGTGTATAAAATTATTAAAGAAGATACAGTTATTGGAGAATAAGGATAATTTCCTGACAGCAGAATATTATATAAATAAAAATTTTCTTGGTTTATTTGGTCATTAATTTTATTTTCTATCGTTAACACAGCACTACATATGTTTCGGAAAACTTTGTTTCCATCTTCGGATACAGTCAAAATTTAAAAAAAAAATTTAAAAACACATGGGGACGATTGCCGTTTATTTTTTTTTAAATAACAGAAACCCCATCTTCACACGCTGAAACAGAAAGAGACATGGTCGTTAGTGTCGAATTAAAATTAAATAAGGCTGGAGGATGGACAGAGTCACTCTTCTTCTTGTTAATTATAAACCCTAATGATAAACTAGATGAAGTATCTTTAGTATTTTGGGGAACTTTTGAATTTTACAGTCTTACGTAATACCATTAACTTAGGCATTTGCCTCAAATCTTTACCTAAATGCTACATAGCTTTAGCAGATTTGCTTCGGTTTCAACTTAACTTCCCCTATTATTTCCATGAGATTACTTTTCAATTCTAATGTGAGAAGAATTCTTCTAGTTTCAGAATTAAAATGAGTGTCTTACCAAGTAAGGACATACTAGACCCTTACTTGGTCTGTAAAGACTTTAACCTCATTTAAGAGCTGTATTGGTATTAACTCTCTGGGTTGACTTTGGGTGGCGCCATCAAAAGGCAATTTAAGGATATATGAAAACAAGCCATGATTTGTAAATGTATCTAGTCCTGAATCCAAAATGTATACTGTATAGTCATGAGGCAACTACCTCTTTTTGAATAACTCCATCAGTACTCCTCCATATTGAGTCCATTGCCCAAAATTTTAAGGATATTTTCCTTTAGCAATGGCCCTTTAGTTTCTTTTTGATATAAGACTTAAAAGAAAAGTAGAACCACAAAAGGCAAATAATTACAATTCACAAATGGTTAGATGTAAATAAATGAACATAGCAATATATCCCAATATTACGCGAACAATATTCTTAGCCATCATATAAAATGTTTCTATATATTTGACAACACTATCAAAAAACCATTATCTTCTTTACCTTAGTGATTTTAGCATGTCCTCACTAAATCCGGGACACCCACCGGATCTTATAGTCTCACTGTATTTAATCCGCCCTAGATTTGTTTTTAAACCACACTGGGTTCATGATAAAACTTGTACTGAGTTGTTACTATCTGGAATCACGTGTAAATTAAATCGACTCGAAAGAAAAAAGTATGTCCAATTTACCAGCATACGCAATATAAAGTTTTTCTAGATGTTTGCTAACACTATCAAAAAACCAGTATCTTTCTGTCTTAGTTATTTAACAGGTTCACACTGAATCTGGAACCCGCACTGGGTCCAAGACTCGCATTGACTTTATTTAATGTTATAAACCCGAACTAGGTTCTATAAAAAAAAACTCGCACCGAGTTATGACACTACTTGGAATCCCATGTAATGTGAATCGAAAAAAAAGTATGTCTAATTTGCCATCGTCCGCCATATAAAAAACTCTCACTGAGTTATGGCCTACCTGGCATCCCATGTAATGTGATTCGAAAGAAAAAAGTATGTCCAGTTTACCATCGTCCACCATATACAAACGACTCCACTGAGTTTGGCACTACCTGGAATCCCATGTAAAGTAATGTGATTCGAAAGAAAAAAGTCAGTTTTCTTTCATTTGGCAGATGTTTAAAATGGCTATTAAAAAATTAGTTTTAACAGGTCCACACTGAACCTGAGGGTCCTAGACTCGCACTAAGTCTTTTTAGTCCGCTCTTGATTCGTTATAAACACACAGTGGGTTTTACATAAAACTCACACTGGACTATGGCACCTTCTGGAATCACATGTAAAGTAATGTGAACTGAAAGAAAAAGTAATTAAGTCCAGTTTACCATCATCCTCCATATAAAATTTTGCTAGATATTTGTTGCTATCAAAAAACCAGTATCTTCTTTGCCTTTATGATTTAACAGGTCCATACTGAACCTGGGACCCAGCACTAGGTCCTAGACTCGCAATGAGTCTATTTAATCCTCACTGGATTAATTATAATCCCGCACTAGGTTTTAAATAAAACTCTCACTGAGTTATGGCACTATCTGGAATCACATGTAACGTAATGTAATCTGAAAGAAGAAGTATGTCCAGTTTACCATCGTCAGTCTCCAATTTCTTTTTATTTATTATTAACCTACCTGCATCATTCTGTTGATAAATAAATACTATCTCTGGTTCTTCTGCCAGAGAACTTAAACTGGATGAACTGCGTTTTCTATGTCTAAATATTCTGCATTTTACGTTGGTGATTTTCTTCATTAGAGTCGCTCCCGCTGTTTAAGATTTCTTCCTTTCTGTTTGTTATTTCTTAAGTGTTTTTACCTTATTACTTAAACGACACAATTTTAAGTCGTTGTCCGACGTTTCTGTTTATGAATAATAATATTTTTATTAAAATGTAAAACATTTTCGATTTGACATGTGTATTCAACTTGGCACCAAAAGGCGTAAACTACATAGAAAGTGAGGTTATAAGTTTTGGCTTTGGACTATGGTGCACAACTAGCTCCTAAATGAGTACTACGTTTACTGATCATCTGAAGAAGGGAGCGCAGTGTATAATTGGTTAAATTTAATTCGTTCAATGTGCAACAATTTTGTCAGAAGCATTTATTTTTATTCTTATAAATAATATAATTTTTTAATTCAAAATTTAATCCTCTAAGTGCGTATATAATATTTTATTTGCCGTGACCTTCTTCATATTACAGAAACTTTTTTTACAAAGTACACCTATGGAATGTGATGTTATATCCCTACTTTTACTACACCCTTTAACGATAATCTGAAATATTTAAATACATTTACACCTTTATTCTTTTGTTTTCAGATAAAGCTTTCGATATTACTTACGTCCGTTTACTTTTTTCGTCACCCAGGCCAGAAAGTTTTTACATTTCGAAAAAGTTAACCAAAGATTCTCCATGGATACCATTTCAGTATTATAGGTAAGTATTTTATTTTACTAATATTGATTGAAATTTTTTATTCAATTTTCGATGAAATTTACGTTTTTGGACTTTATTATCAAAACGGTAGTATGTAACGATAAAGTTGTTAATGAATTAACAAAAAATGTATAATTAAGGCGGTAAAATAAGTTTTGATGCTCTAAACCGGGAAAATATTTTGGACAAGAGACCCCTTTTCCAAAATGAATTTATATCCCAGATCCACATACCCAAATTAAATTTAACCGACTTCAAAAAAAACAGGAGGTTCTTAATAATTCGTCGCGGTATTTTTATTTATGTGTGTTCAGCGATAATTCTTTACCACCTTGTCCAATTTCTATGATTGTTTTTTTCTTAGTAAGGAGGTAACTCAGGGGTGGTCTCATATAAATTTGGTTAAAATCTAATAATTGGGTCCATGAGATAAATCCTCAAACTCTTAATTTTTTATGTATGTTTAGCGATAATTCTTTACCACCTTATCCGATTTCTACAATTATTTTTTTGTTAGTAAGGGGGTACGTTAGGACTGGTTCCATATAAATTTGGTTAAGATGTGGTGATGATATCTGCACGATTTTGAAGTCGGTTTTTTAAAATTGCTTTTATTACTTGTAAAAATTATATTTTTAGTTTTTTCCTATTGATACAAAATACTTACCAATTTAAAAACTTTGTGGTTGGTTAATTAAGTAAACTTGACATCATTTTCTCATCAAAATTTAACAAAATGAATAGATATAAAATTTAGTACATATGAAGTGTAATTAATAATTAATAATACAAATTACGTAAAAATTAATTAGAAAATTATTAAAAAAAAAACATTTAAATCGCAAAGTAAAGATAAAAAAAATAAAAAATTTATTGGGATGGTGACTTTCTACCAATATAGCTAAATTTGGTTCAATGTTAGTGAGTTGCAGCCTTAAATCTCCGCGTTCGTTAATTTTCAAACGGTTTCTTTATTTTGTCAAAATGTTTGTTACCACCCCGAAGCCTTTTTCGACTAGGTATGATGATGGAAAAGCGATAAGGTATTTTTCAACAATTTTCCACAGGATACTGTGTTTCAATGTTGCGCCGCAACCAGAACTTCTAATAGCCTTGGTTGAACCTCTGCTTAAGCTTCTCGTCTGTGCTGATGGTGATCAACTCTTCTTGTATTATCACATTGGCTACTTCCATGGCTGTGATATTATACTGATTTATTATCCATTGAGGAATTTTTAAATTTAAGAGATCCTCAAACCTCTTAGTAATATCATTGTATAATGCGTCCAAGTGAGTGACATATAATAAGATAACATCGTCTTGAAGCATTTCTGGCAATTTTGACAAATGCGAAAACTGTGAATATTCTTTTCTGCTTAAATTTTGTTTATAAAGGATAAGTTTACCCACAAAGGCCGATATTATTGATTTTGTTTTTATCAAGTTGAAATCGTCACCATGCAGCTGCAAATTAACTATGTTAAACATACCAAAGATTTTCTTTCAAATTCGGATCTTTTTCATGTAAAAACTCCAACAGAAATTCAAAAATAGCAAAAAGTCTGGCTAAGATGGAGCCTCTTAATAGTCAGCGAACTTAACGTGTGCAGAAGTAACCCAGCAAATAACTGAGAGTTGGTACACGTAACACAACTTATAGAATATCTTGAAAGTTTAAAATACGAACTTTTGTTAATTAATAGTGGTCGATTTTTAGGCATCTTTGACTCCCAAAATCAGTTTTCGTTTATGTGGACCCTTTGGAAACCGGTTTCGACCCAAAGGGGCCAGTATCAACCACGTTTGGAATCCTTGCTCTAAACTTTTGGGCTATTATGCTAGTAAATCATACTATAGTCTCTTTTGGAAATTTGATGTAAATCTTGATATATTTTGATAATTAGGGGTGACATTTATAGTCGAGCCTTGAGGAGTCCTTGTGCTTGAAGACCTCCTTAGGAACAAAATTGTTTTTATAGTCGCTGAAGGACCCCTTAAGGATTCCTTAACAGCGCATTAAGGCATCCTTCGCCGATTTTAAGGTTAAAATAAGTAATTCTTAAAGGCTATCCATCTTCTAGTAACGATAAATAGGATTCATTTTGGAGATTTCCTTTTGTACCTGATATACAACATAATTAAATTAAACACCTTATTACTCTCTTGTCTCAACTGGTTCCTGTTTGTAAGGTTTTCCAACCTTAAACGGCTGATTGATGTATTTGAATCCTTCCACGCTAATTCCCACACTAGTTCTCCAGTTTTTTAGCTTAAGTTACCACATCTCTTATGCAATACTTTATCACTGATTGGTTTAGTAGATTTGCATTCTGACCTGTACCACTTTCCATTTGTGATTGCGTCACTTGAACCTTGCACCTTTTTCCTGTTTTCTTTTCATTAATTTCTCTCTTGCATCGAGATGGTAAGATCACTCACTTAATTTTTAAATAAATTTAAACTAAGGTATTCACATTTAATGTTTTTGTCTATTTGGTCATTGAATTTCTTTGTAGGCCTGATGGTTGCTATTTAGCCGAAACCGGTTCCCCTATTTCATTTTAAAATACATTTATATGGATCAAGATTTTGTGTTTTCTTAATCGTTAAAATATACGAGTAGAATTTGTGTACCTATCTGTATCTGTAACGTGTGGAGGGTGGGTTACCCCACGGCACTTAGGCCTCATTAGGCCCGTTGTGCATCCTCATAAGATGATAGGCACCTCCTAGCTCGTGAGCCAGTCTACAGATTTAATGTAGTTGACAACGTCGCCAAGAGGTGCTTCTCTTATATCGGCCGGTGTTAGCAGATACTCGCCGAACACAAATCTTCTAATAAATGAGAGCGTCGAGCAATCGTAAAGGTTATGCTCGATGGTCTCATCTTCTTGTTCGCACCCTCTGCCAAGTGCGAATTCTGATAGCCCCATGATATGGAGATGTTTCCGTACTTGGCAATGACCAGTCAGGACGCCTGTGACTAGGCGCAGATTCTGTCTAGTCATAGTCAAGTATTTGTTTGCTGCAGTGTTGTCAGGATAACTTAAGAGCTCTCTGGCAACTCTACAGTTTCTTGTTTCATTCCATTTTTCCTTGAATTTCACAAGGGAATGTTCTTTAATTAGGTCTGTCACCACCGATTTTGTCCACCTTTGATCCATCTTAAGGTTGATGGATACTTCGGTCAAAGCTTCGTGACATTCTAGTACTAACCTTGAGTAAATTCGTGGTCTGTTCAGGGTGAGTAGTGCTTTTCTGCTATCTGTATAGATGAGCATGTTCCTTCCAGTGATATTGTTTCTGGTTATTTCTTTTGCTGCTATGAGAATCCCCGTTAGCTAGGTTTGAATTACAGTGACACTATTGCTCACAGCCCATTTTATGTTTAGGTTTAAAAATCTGGAGTATATTCCACATGCTAAGCCTTGTTTTGTTTTAGAACCGTCGGTGTAGATATGAATCGTACCTGCCACTTCTGGCTCTTCTATTTGTTCTATTATTACTTTATATGGCTTATAGAAGATATAACTCGGTGAGACGGAGTCCATGTTCGCTTGAAGCAGTGGGAGCGTATCGAGCGCCTTCTGCCAAAAGCGACGTCTGGCCTCACCAGATCCTACATAAGGTTCTATTTCAACCATGCGAAGACGTGTCATTGTCGTCAGAGCAACCTCCTTGATGTAAATATCAAGGGGAGTGAGACTAAGAATGACTTCCATGGCTCTGATCGGTGTTGTTTTCATGGCTTCTGTTATGTTGAGACATGCTGTTCTTTGAATTTGTTCTAGTTTACGAAAAGCTGATAATTTTTGGGTAAGTTTAGTTTTGTGTTTAGGAGTTCTGGAGGTTTTAATTCCATTTTCGTTATTTTCCTTGTGAAAAGGACCATTTCTGTTGGTAAGAACACTCACTTAATTTTTAATTAAATTTAAACTAAGATGTTCACATTTAATTTTATTGTTTTTGTCTATTTGGCCATTGAATTTCTTTGTAGGCCTAATGGTTGCTATTTAGCCGAAACCGGGTCCCCCTATTTCATTTTAAAATAAATTTATATGGTTCAAGATTTTCCTTTATCGTTAAAATATACGAGTAGAATTTGTGGTACCTATGTTGGGATTGGTTTGCGCTTTGAATTGTATAAATATTGGAAGGTTTTGAAGAATTTATGGAACCAGTTCGTAATTTTACCTCCACTTTTCTGACTGTCATTTGCAATGGATTGTTATGACCTAGAAATCGATTCACATTGGCTTCTTCTTGGGAAAAGACATTTACGATTTTAAATGACAAATATTCACTGGCTTCAATTTTAACAAATTCACGAGAAAAAATTTATTTAGACAAAAGGTATTAATTATTTTGATAAAAAAAAAACAAAGTTGACTTGAAATTTTTTTACTAAATTTATAGATTGATAACTAATAATTTTAGTTTGACAAACTAATGTTATATTTTTAATTAAATTCAAATTATTCAAAATTCCATTGTAAACTAAAAGCCATACATAATTTAATAATCCTTTTGCTGCAATATAAAACAAAATATTTTTTTACAATTTAATAGCCGTATAAATCAATTTATTACAAACTTTTCATTCTCGTCCAACCAAAATCCCATCTAATTATTTTATAGTCTTCTAACCTACGAAGAAAAGACTCTTTTGTCCATGAAACTAATAATGGTCCCCTTTTTTCAGTGCCACCTGTCGAGATACCTACGGTCTACCTGACATGACGCACACGACGAGGGGCGAGGAGACGAGGGCCCTTTGTACATCAGAGTATTCCGACATTTCACCTCTTCAAGGTGGCAATGTGGCTTTTGGGACTTTAGAAGGACGACCGTCGGCTTATAATTTCGATACCAGTCCCGAACTGCAGGTAGGGTCATTGAAATTTAATTTTTTTTATACAAGATTTTAAGTGATCATGCAATGCTTTAATCGTGGACCGTATTACAGAAATTTAGGTAAAGGAATAGGTATACTATGGATTTTTTTGAGTAGATAAAGACAATAATTACGCAATAAAGTTATAAAGAGTTTCTCTACAGTATGATATTTTGATGTAAATGTATGGAATAAATCAATAAAAGACGTAAATTTATATTTTGAAGGACCCTTTTAAGAATTTATTATTACAAACTATACAAGCTCTCGGCATGATTAGCACTTATTTTATAATAAAAACATACTTAAAAAGTTTATAAAAGAATCATTTTGTCCAAATTGTCTTCGGTAGCTACAAAAGCCGATCTTTTTAAAAACGAAAACAAGACGTCTAATCACAAACACGCGCGTTATTTAAATTCCCCAATTATAAATCGTCGTGTACCAAGCTTGCCAATCATAAAGCATCGTGTTCCTGATACCGGAAGGGCTACCCCCTCAGTACATAACAAACCGATTTGAGTAACATCTCTAGTCTTATATACTCCAAGAGTATTTTCATAAAAAAATCCATCGGAGTCAAATCTGGGTGTGCTGGTGGAAATTCGATAGGTCCCCTACTTAAGTAGGTTCGAACATCAATGGCGTAGTGCGGGGGCGCCTTATCCTGCTGGAACTACAAATAATTTCTATTTGAAAACAGCTAATTCGGTTGTGGCAACAGAATACAATGAAGAAATTCTAGATATCGAGGACCAGTTAAGTTTACCTCAAAAAAGTATGGTCGTATAATCTGGTTGTTTATAATTTCGGGCCAATCATTCTTTTCTTGACAATCTGTCCTGCTACCCTACCCATTGTGGGTTTTTACTTTCCCACTATCGATATATCTGGCATACAACTAGCTTCATCTGAAAAAATTACCGTTCTTTATATGAATGCCATGTTTACTTTTTTAATACTAGTAAGTGGATTTTCTTGAAACGCAAGTACCACGTCAAGTTTCTGGCTTCACCACTTATGGGTAGATTGATGTATTTTGGGATTTTTTCGAAATTCGTCTATTTTTGAAATATTTAATTCATTTCATACATTTCAATCAAATTGCGTCAATTACAAATTTCCATTTTTAAACCTGTACAGGTACAGAAGAACATGCCTAATGAGGCCTAAGTGCAGTGGGGGCAGCCCACCGTCCACACGTTACAGATAGGCAATGGTCCTTTTAAGAACTCTTTGGATTGTCTCTGTCCTGGTGATTTTTTCCACCATTCTTGAGACTTTTTAAACATCCACTGCTTTGTGCATGTTCTAATAGCTGTCCTTGTGACACCACAGAAGGGTTCTGAGCCAATAAGAAGATCCTTTGAGGCTCCTTTTCGGGCTAGTAGTTTAAAAAAAAAGTTTACACGAAAATTTCAACAAACCATACTCTTCCATTAATGTCCAATAAATTAAAATTAACAATAAAAATAGGAGTTTCCAAATAAAATTAAAAAATAAATTATTAATTACGGAAAAACCGGAAGTAAGTCATGACGTCACAAAATAATTAAATTCGTTATTAGAAAGTTCTAATTCCAAGTTTTCAACCAAACAAATCATAATTTTTATATCTCAAATATTAACTAAGATAACGGCGGGTGGAATTTTTAAACACAATGGCTAATCGACCGCCGGCGCGGCGGTGCTTGTATTTGTTGAAAAAAAAAAAACCGTCTTCTGGCGGCATGGTCTTCTCACATAAAAGAAAGCCGCCGAAAATCTAAACTGATTTGTTGATGAGGGCGGCAGGCTATCTGTGAATTGAAAAATTCCGCCGGACGACGGTCTACTGTATTTAAAATATTGAATGCCGGTGGTAAGAAAAAAATACTTGTAAAATCGTCTACATTTTTTGGTTTGGTGGCTATATTGTGAATATCTTTCAGAAGTATGATTTTATTGCATTTTTCCTCTATGTAGCACTTTTTTGTCTTCAACTTTGCAAGATGAATAATTTCTGATTGTATATCAGGAGGAAGACGTCTTTGTTATGGCAAATGATCATAAAGGGCCTACAAAGATATAGGATAGTTACCTAATGTATCATCATATTTGTTAATGCAAAATTGTGTACGGCTCGGTCAAGTTAGCGCCGGTGTAATTGCGAATTGTGCGGGCCAGCTTGACCGCCAGTCCCACATTTTTTTGACTTCTTCGCAATATTTTTGGCTCATTCAATTGTGGTCATTTTGTGCTCAATTAAGCCTGAGTGGATTTGACTTGTGCTCTTTTCCATATTTATATGAAGAAGAGCACTATTGTGGGTTGCCAGATCATATTTAATATTCCAAGGCAGTTCCAGACCAGCTTTAACTTGATTCTGTTTAAACTAAGGGCCTTTAAGGCTGCTTGTCTATCTGACTTTGTTTTTTTATACTTCCTTCTTAAATTATCTCGTACACACAATTCGATTGCATGTATTTCAGACTGAAATACAGCGGTATGTTTTCTCAGTGGGACGATGATGTCGCATTTGAGTTTAACTTTATGTACGCAGAGTCTGTTCCCTTGTTACTTTTAGATCCATCCGTATAACATATGAGACTGCTTAGCAAGTATTTATCTACCTCCTTATTTACCTCGTTCCAGTTGACCTGGAAGGGCCTGTTGAAGGTTGTGAGGTGTCATATGATCTGATCCCATGTTTAATATTCTGGTATGTTCTATATATCCCAGTGGGTTCCAGTTGTTGATGTTGTACGCAGGAGGAAATTTGGCTATGTAACCAAGAAGGCGTATTTAAAATTCAGCATTACTTTAATTCTTAAATGAAGTAAAATATTCTTTATTTGAATCCTAGCATTTTTAAATTAACATTGACGGCAATTTTTGAATCAAAAGCTTATAAATAAGAACCAACGTTGTTAGTTTAGCATGCGTACTTAAATATTTCTTAAGTAAAGATTGTGGCATTCTTGGCTCAAAAACAAGCCCAAAAATGCTTATTTTTTACTTAATATGGGCATTAATTTCTTTCTGTGTATGTACTTATTCTGGCTTCCCCCTTTATGACTAAGTCAAGGGGTGGGAGGTTCAGAATGATTTCTATAGAGGCTTTGTGTATTTCTCAGAGCTCCTGTAATACAAAGGCATGCCAGGCTTCTGTACTTCTGAGAGGGTATTGAGTGCTGTTTTCTGAGTTACTTTTGACCACCAAACAAACGCTCCATAAGTTATGATGAGTCTTGTTATTGCCAACTATAGCCAGTGGACCATTTTCAGTTTTAATCCCCATATTTTTTTAAATGCCCGTCTTTCATCAATGAGATATATTTTACATTTGTAAGTGTTGGTTCCAAGTTCCAAGTAAGTTTGCTATCTAGGATTAGACCTAGTAAGGCATAAGTGTCATAGGACAACCTACCCTCTGCACGTTACAGACAGAAGTACCATGTTCAATAAAATAAGCCTTTAATTTTTGTTTAACTTTAGAGTTTGATTTAATAACTTAAAGAGTAATCGAAATATGGATACATACCATAAAACCTTTTTTGTTAGATCATTTTTTGACATACCTTTTTCTATAGCAATGTGTTTTCCCTAATATAAAGCGTTTAAAAGAAATTGTAAGAAAACAATATGTTTTAGGGTCACCGGGGGTAAGAGGGGTGAAGCTTACCTTCTGGGGGTGGAAACTTTGTCTGTATGTATTCTTACATAAATAAGCTAACTAATCTAAACAATTCAGCTTTATATTTGTTTTCTTCTGTTCCAACTAAATTTGTGTACGAAAAGATTACTTGATATTTCAGTTTCAATATTTTTAATACGTTCAGCAAAATATTTGTTACCATATGCTTTGATTCTTGATATTTTTGTAAATATGTTACATTCTTAGCTATCTTTTTGTATGAATGTACTAAATACCATTTTATAATACTTATTGTTTTCCAAAATTGAAATAGTAGGATTACTGAAACAACTCTCTGAAAAATTGTAATATAAATATTTTAATTTAAAATTCAAAATAGTCTTACAACATATTTAAAAGTGCATTTGTTTTATTAAGCATTTAAATACCGACCCCATAAACAGTGACTATACAATACAAACTGTTATTTTCCCATCTAACAGTACAAATTCCATCAGTCGAATTGTCCCAATAACACGAACTTGCTGTATGTAATCCAGCTCCACTTCTTTGCAATATTGAACAGGTCACTACGTATTTAAACATCTTGTTCAGTTTACTTAAAGAAGCGAGGATTTGTTCAGAAATATTTGCACTCCAGGCACTTATCTTGTCCGGTTTGTATTCAGCATCACTTAAATTAATTTCGATTGTCGATTTGATAATTTTATTGACATCTTCTGGTACAAAGAGGTTTTCATCTTCTTCATCATACATGGTTTTCAACTTATGACAGTCGGCGTCAAATTTTTGTGACAAATAATTTAGATTGCCAAACATAGTGACTAGATTTTCTTTAACTAAAACAGAGATGTATTTAAAATTAATTTTCCATAAATTATGTTCTGGCTACAATGATGATTGTATTATTTACTATTTTTTTTTTATATTTAAATAAAAGAGATTTGTGATTACGAGGTATTGGATTTCTGAGTTTGATGAAGAATTCAGATGCACGAATTTCAAGAAAAGTTTTTTTAAAAATCAAAACGTAAAAAAAATGAGAAAAAAACTACTATTTTTGTGAAAATTGTAATTAAAAATTTCGATTTTGTCGGTTATATTGATACAGTTTGTCTTGGTAGCAATGTTGCCAAATTGAAAATTAAATTACAAGTATCAAATAAATATGAAACAAATTAACCTAATCTAAATGTATATTAGAGAAAATAGAAATTAATCGGATATTTGGAAAAGGACACAAACGAAAATTTCGACAATTTTCATTTTATGCAAGGGATCATTTGGTGCGAAAAGGGAACAAAATATCAGGCAAGAACTCCTAGAACTGCATTAACTAGATACCCGTTTCACTGTGTTTGGTTCGAAAAGGTCTTATGTGACAAAAAAATGTGGCCTTTTAAGAATGTAAGGTTAAAATTTTAGTTTAAAATTGTTTGTTATTCAATCAGCACTGTTTTTTTTTGTTTTGGTGTGTAGTTTAAACAGTGGCCGCTTGTCGTTATTTAAAATGGGTGTTCAATTTCTTCCAATAATTTTATCATTTGTAAGATCGATTCAAATCTTTGTACATGCGCCAATATCGTTGTTTTTTTATTTGGGTTTACATTAAATGTAGTTATGATTATCATCAATATCATACTGTTCTCAAACACTACAACTATTAATAAATGAATGAATGAATATTTTAGTTATTGTAATATTTGTTTTTTTTTAATACGTTGAAAACCATCTATAAACAGTATCAGTTATAGTCAGCTGTTTCTTCTTCATAGTTTGATATTATTTTTAAATATGTATCAGGTTATGTAGAAAGCTTTTTGTGTAAAAATAAATATTTTCACAATTTATCACACATGTCAAATAAAATAATATATTTTTTAAATATATTTTATTGGAAAATAAAACAAGTGAATTAAAATATTTTATAAAATCAGTCCCATCACAATACATAACATTACACAGATAAAAACTAGAATAAAGATATATAATGCGAGACATTCTAAATTACACTCTTCACAATTTAACAGACTCTCTTAACCCCCATTTTCAATGAGATTTTTTTCAGATTCAATAAGCTTCATTCCCTTATAGAGCTTTATTTGTTTCAAAAATTTCAAGTTGATAATATTGTTCGTTTTTGAGTTAGAATTTTTTAAATACTTATACCCTCCCTTAACCACCCACTTTTATTCAAATATTTTTCACAATTAATAGGCCTCATCTCCTTATAGAGCCTAATTTTTACAAAAAATCTCATGTCGATATCCCTTTTGATTTATGATTTTTTTAAATTTTAAGCCCTCTTTTACGCCCATTTTGAATTACATTTTTTTTTTCAAATTTAAAGGGCACTTTCTTCTTATAGAGCTTGCTAAAATTGATATAATTTTTCAAGTTGATATCGCTTTTCGTTTTTAATTTATGATTTTTTTTTTAATTTTAACCCACCTTAACTCCCTATTTTTAGTCACATTTTTTTCAAAATCAATAGACTTTGTCCCCTTATAGCTTGGTTTTTGCTTAAAATTTTCAAGTTAATATAATTTTTCGTTTTTGACTTATCGTGCAGACAAAAAACATGAAATCGGACAGACGGACGAAGTAAACCTATAATACTCTTTACTACTGTATTTAGAGTAGAATAATATAATCAATGCTAAAACAACATAATGGACTAAAAAATAGGGACAATAAAAGAATGATAAAGTAAAAGTTTTTAAAATTATTTAATATGTAATAGTAATAGTACCTTGAAGGTAAACTGCACTATGTCATTCTAATCAACTTTTTAGTATTACAGACTGAATGTTGTTTGGACACGTTTTGTGTTCCACATTTACATATATTAGTTATATATCGACAAGAAATGCAGTTAGCTCCATTATTGTTCCAATATATATATTGTTTACTAATAATCTAACTATTAAAACTTTTTATTAATATGCCTGAATTGTTAGTTTTTGTAACATATTTCTATGTTCTAATAACAATTTTTCTATAACATGCCTCTATAAGTAGTACGTCTAACGTGAGAGTTAAAAAGTGTTTTTTAACTTGTAAGTTTATTGAACATAGTGTTATATTTTTTTTGTCAACTTTTATTGTGACATCACTCTACATGGTATAGTATACCCTTGAAAAGGTCTCGATATGCAGATTAAAAAAATATAACCTTTATAAAACTGCACCATGTCGACATAGTACAGTTTACCTACCATAAACTGATATCGGTAAATATCTTCATGATATAGGTACATACCTAACATCGACACAACTATTTTGTTGCTTGAATTAATTTAGGTCGGTGCAATATTATTTTTTTATATCGTCTTTAAAAAAAACTGTAATTTAAGTTTAGCTTTCAATTTTTTCTAGATTCGATACCATTATTTGAGTAAAATCCTCACCGCTACATCAGTCTAGCACTGTTTATCAGTACCTCTAGCATTTATAGATAGGACATATTTCTATAACTTTAAATTCATTAGGGAAAACCTACAAAATAAAATACAATGTACAATGATTTTTCTTGGCTGGCAACTGCAATCTAAGATCTGTTTAAAGTTAGGTCACAGCTTATACAATACAGCTTCACAACTCCGTGTCGGCGTCTTTGATCTGGCGGTCGCGAACCAAGCAAGACGGAATGGTGCTATCTCTGTTAGATTCGAGGGAAAAGTCGGGCCCGGATTAAACAATTTTTTTATTATTGAAAAAATTGAAAACCTTGGCGTAATAAGGTTGGTTACATGCCATATTAAGTAAGTTTTGGGAAATTAAATATTTAATTTGTTTTAAATCGGTCAAATATAATTAAAAAAATTATTTAAATATAAATATTACGAAAAATAGGACATCTTTCGGATTAGAGGTAAAATAATTTGTATGTGGCTAGTAAAATCGTCGTTAACAAATGTTTTGAGCTAAAACAGTCACTTCACGACAAATTGTGGCTTGGATCCTTTTTACAACAAGGGCTTCAATTGTTAAAGAATTTTGTCACGCTCGTGGATGCAAATCAAGTGGTACCCCGTGTGTCTGGCAAGTGTTACTCTTCGCGTTTATACCTAGATAAACGAATGCTTCGACTGAGGTCTGGGAACTCTATGGTATTTTGGAATTATAAAGAATTTGTGCTTTTATTTTAACAATATTGGTTATATTTTGATCAACCGACTGCTATTATTTTTAAAATTTTAAGTAAATGACAATTCTGTCAAACTAATTGTCAGTATATTTTTTAGTTATTGAGATTAAACATACATTAAAATAGGTTATTCTTTTGGAAAACGTTAGCATGGATGACTAAAGGGTATTGGGTTAATTAATTCTAAAAGTGTGGTACAAATGTTATTTTTTGTAGCCAATTCTTCAAAATTATTTTGAAATATCTTTTCAATATTGAATATTAGTTCTACAAATTCATCATTTGACAGTTGCAGATTTCCAAATGTATCTGAATTGGCGTTACCATATGCCTTTAAAAAGCAATAAAAAGAAAAATCATCTAATTCAACGTGATCTTTGTTATATTTAAGACAGGTATCACAGGAGTGGATCCGCAAGGCATTTATTAAAAGGTAACCACACACATACCTGATAAAATTTTTATGTGGCAACTCGTCTTTACAATAATTTAGGGTAATAATAATTTCATCATAAAATAGAATACAAGGTGTTCTATTTAAAAAATATACATTTCAATTAGGCAGGCAAAAACGTGACACCCTGTATATCTAAAGATATTTTTAAAATATGTAGTTTTTTTTCAAATCCATATAACTTTTATTTAAAACTTTTTTGCGTGTCTACAACAAAATAATGAACAATAACGCACTAATGGGACACCCTGTATAAATTATATTTTTAACAATGAAAATTTCTTATAATGTGGTACTTATCGGTTTGGGTCCTTGGAAAAACTAAAGAATGTTTTCTTGCAGGTATAACCCTTATTAAAACAGCTTTTGACTGCACAAACAGAATGATGTCTTTTTTTCACTCATTCTACTCACAGCTAAAGAGTCACCAAAATAATAACAGTACCTTTAACTCAAACAAAATCAACGAAATTATAGGCTCCACGAAATTATACAATCAACGAAATTATACGCACGACTCAACACCTTACCTAAGTACGCTTCTGAACGCCAAAACCGTATTTTCCCTCCGAAGGCGGAGCTTAAGCGATGCGCAACGAAATCGACGCAAAACGTTGCCGCCAAGAGAGTGTTTTAGCTGTATTGTATAAGCTGTGGTTAGGTACTTTATATCATAGCTGTAAGAAACCATTTCTTGATGGAACCCAGTCATTGCTTGATTTGAATAATTTTCATATAAAAGATTACCGTTTTAAACAAAAGTCAACACAATAAAGTTGCTATAGTTTACCCAACACACTTGGATATTAAATTTCTGATTTTGAAACTTCTTTTACGTCTTTTAAAAAAAAAATTTGCTCACTGCATAGCACTTTGAGTTATAAATGTAGTTTGATTTGAAACATTGAGATAGAATCAGACATAAGCACTATTTTGCGATATGGTAAGTGAACGCACTTTAGGCTGTATTTTAATTAATTTATGTTTTTATATCATTTAAATCACGATATTTTAAAAGAAGTATTTATTTTCACCAAACTGACTAGCTCCACTAGCTCGAGTTTGACATATGACGTAAAAGTGTTAACCCAAAAGTGCGACACTTTAAGTATCATTATAGCATCTCCTCTTTATTCTATATTAATGATTGGAAAGATTCGTATGCCCCGTCCTACATTGTAACGTGATGATTTAAGTGATATTAAACAGGCACATGATTTGGACTGGAAAATAAG